AGTACATGCCCCAAATACATCCAGAGCGTCCTTCTCATTCGGATGGAAAGAACTGGTTGGTGGTATTTCAGATCTCTTCGTTGGTGCTGAAGTCTTTGCAGTCAATGTTCAGAATCTTTCATAGGCACTTATTTTGGAAGGCGTCTAGTTTTCTGTCTGTTTTAGTAGATTTCCAACTCTTGCCGCCATATATTAGCCCCGAGATTGTTTAAATTGAAAATTCTCAGTTTTGTTCTAGTGCTGTATATCTTTGATTGCCATACTATGTTGAGTTGCCTGTCCTATCGTTAACATCTCATTTCCTCCTTTGGTTAATATGGTGCCGCCCAGGTAGATGAACTGTTCTACTTTCTTGGTATTTTTGCCTTCTAATGTGATGTTACTGGGTTTCAGTAATGTTTGTTCTAGCATAATTAATTTTCAGCCTCATTTGGCTTGCTATTTTTGCCAAATAGTCTGTCTGTCCGTCTCTTTTGAAGGGTGTCTCTGGATAGCACAGTATCATCAGCAAAGTTGCTATACCAGTGTTTGTGTTGCTAATACACGTCTTCATTATCTACGGCAATGCCAAACAACAACGGAGATAAAATGCAGCCCTGTTCCATGCCAGCATCCACATTGAACCACTCTGTTGTCTGGTTGTTCACCCACACAGAACACTTTGCATCTCTGTACATGGCCTTGATGATATTGACAATTTTAACTGGGATTCCACAGGATTGAAAAATATTCCATAATATATGTAAGTGCAAGCTATCAAATGCCATTTGAAAATCAAAATATTTGATGAAGAGGGGAGCTTGCCATTCTATACATTTTTGTATGATGGACTGTTAGTGTAAATATCTACTCTACATGGGATGTCTTGGGCCTGAATTCACCCTGTTCTTCTCAAAGGTTTGCATCCTCTGCCTCTCTCATCCTGTGCAGAAGGCTTTCCCTAGAGCAGAGAGTAGTATAGCTCCTCTCCAGTTGTTACAGTCACACTTTATCTTATAATGATTCCATGTTTTCACTGGTCAGGTGTGGTCTCTTCTTCCCAAACTTTTTTGACCAGCTGTATCAATTTTGTTAGGATAGTTGTATCAAGTAATTGTAAAACAAAAAACGTTGTTTAGAAAATTGTGTGTGAAACATTCAAAGCTTTCCTTAAGATTTTTCTAAGTGTGAGAGAGAAACCATCAAACGGTTTGTGTGTGGACACCAGCAGCAGACATTGAAGCTTTTTAATGTTTGGGGGGGGTTCGTATAACTTCAACTAATTTTGAAAATAGGGAGATTTTCTGGGAAGAGGATGTACAGAATATTAAAGGTGCACTGGGAGGACTGCCTTCCAAGGAAAACCTGGACATACTCTTGAATTTTACAGATTAGCCACAACAGTAATAAATATTTTAATCCGTATTACATAATTTTCTATTTTAAAAGTTGCAAGTGTTAAATTCGCCAAACCAGTTTATTGTGTAGCAAACAGAATATTTCAAACATCTTTCTGGCAAATAATATATTTCAAATTATTTTAAAATTAACTGCACTTTTTAAGTACTAATTTGTGTCCACTGAAAGTCCAGTTAACTCGCCGAGGGCTACACTATAAGTGTAATTAGTGGCAATGAGCTTGCTTGCTTCAGCTGGAAAAATCTGAAGCATGCTGCACTTTCAAATATAAAAAAATGGTTTGATAACATTCCACCAGCCTCCAAGGCTACTTTAAAAAATGTTTTATTTTTCAAAGAAAAGATGAAGACAAGTTTGAGGAGGGGAATGTTGGTGTGGGGGCTATTTAATTTCCTGTTCAAGTCCTTCCTGTACTCTGTGCTTACAGGCTCCCCGGAGCTGAGCACCATATAATTGATGTGCAGCCTGCATTGCTGAAGGTTGGACTGCACCATTCCGTGAACGAGGGAAGATGTAATCTGATCCTCTGCTGCTAAGGGAGGAATCTGTTAAGTCAAGGCTTTGACAGGCCATAGTCTCCTCCAATAATCTTCCCCCTCTCTCTCATTATTCCCTCAAGTTCTACTCCAGCAAGCTGCATGTATGTATGTGTCCTGAGAAGCGGTTTGATACTGAGCTTCATTTGCCTTTACAGTGTGGAGTTTTGTTGCTGGTTCTGCTGCCTAATCTTCCTTTTCTGACGTGCCCGAGCATGTCCACATTAGAGTCTGTGACATACCTACCTGAAAAAGGTTTATATTGTCAGAGACTACCAAGCAGTCGGACACTCGGGGGCACAGAATCACTGAAGGGGAAAAATACAGAAAACATGGGTTTCTACGGCACTTTAAAAATGATTTTTTACAAAGTAAGTAATCTGTTTTTTCTTGTTTGAGAGAGTATGTGTGTCTGTCTGTGTTAAGGAAGAAAAAAATCTGTATCATCAGAGATGGCTGCAGTATCTTCTCTTTTTGGTGGGTGGCTGGATGCCTGGCATTCTATTCTACACGATGAACGAAGGCAAATAATGAAATGGCTAAATGAGATGCGAAAAGCTTTTATTTTAGGAATCTGAATAAGAAGTGAAATGTTGATCTGAGAATTTACCTTCAAATAAACTGCTTGACTTTCAAAATGCAGCTCATCTATACGTTAACCTGAAAGCACTTTATGCATAACTGTTCTTTAGTAAATCTTCTTTCTGTACCTTACCATTTCTCTCAGGCTTATTTTATTTTAATTTTGCTGTGAATGTACAAAAAGGTGGAAGTAATGGTGTTGATATTTACATGTAATGCAGTGAGCTGTAGAAGACTTTGATACCACTCTGTGTTTCTGGTAATGATGCAGAATACAGTTTGATATTTTGACTGCAAGATCAGTTATTTCAGTAAATCAACACTGTCTAAAGGACTCTAGTACTTATATTCACAGAGAATTATTTCACAAGGATGTTTGCTTGGGTATTTCTGATACAAGTTTTCAGTTGCATAAAAATCATCTTGAAGTCTAAAATTTATCACTAGAACAGTCTTCTGGAAACAAAGTTTTATCTTAGTATGGTAAATGCAATTGTGTCAATTAATTTACTTGGCATCCTGTGAAGTGCTGAAAGCACATATATGTCACTAAGCTGATAAGAACAGATGAAAAAGTTTGTTAAAATAATTGAGAAAACAGGAAATTGGAGATGTCATTATTAGGTAAATATAGGACTGCATGTTGATTTGAATATTTTCTATGCTCTTGTAGAAGGATAAATGAATATATCTGCTTATACTGTTGCTGGTATTCTATTTCTTGTACCTAACAATTTTTGCTTTTGAAAAAGTAAATCTCTTTTTTTTTGAGAGAGAGGAAACTAGAAGATAAATATAAGCATTGGTGTGAGGATATTCTCTCAGGAAAATCAGTTTAATTTTTAACTGAGATTAAAAACTTCCTATAACATTAAAATACTTCCTTACGATTCCTACTATAAGATTTCTCTAGTATGGTGTTATACTAAAACAAATGAGATTTATGCCTCCAGTGGTTTTGCTGTCTTGCTCCTGTACAATGATAAAAGATGGTCTCCATTATTCTCAGTGTTGATTAGAACAATTTGGGGGGCAGTGGGGGAGGGTGGGTCGGGTTGGTTCTTGCATTTGGGATTTGTTATGTGTTTTTTTGTTTGTTTGTTGTTCTGTTTAATGTGTTTATGGTGACATGGTTATTGTGTCCCACGTGAGGTATGGGCAAGAAAACAAGGTTTAGCTATAAGGCAAGCTGTTTTTGTTTTTTAATGAGTATGTATAACCTTAGTAGTCCTTTCTTTTAATTACTAATGGAACAAAATACAAAAGCTTTATTGAATGTTTATTAAGTGACATGTAAATGTCTGAGTATTTTGAAGGAAAATGTTTCTAATGCAAACATTTTTTATAGCTATACAGAATCCAATTCATTTTAGGAGGGAAGACTGGTACAATAAATGGTTGAATCCAATCATAAAGATGAAATTATAACATCTGCAACATTTTAAAAAACAGAGAACCACTTAGCATTATATATCCTAGATATCAACTTAAAACCATTCATTTTAACAGATTAAATTAGAGAAGCTAAAAATCCTCACAAATATTTAAGGTCCAAATTGATACACAGGTAATTTATACATTCTGCAGTTAATAGCTGTTGTTGCTCTACTAATGGCTAAAATGTTTTCCCTACAATAAAAACACATCTTTATTTGGCATAAAATGACTTAGTTGAGTCCAAAAATCTGTGGTTGAAGATTACCAGCATATGCAGCAAGTAATCCCTATTTGTTTGGCTGGATGAACATGCCTTTCACTGGTTTCCATCTCTTTGGTAATTTTTGCAGACTTGCTTCTCCTTTTAACGGCTGCCCTGCTCATTATTTGTTTTTTGATCGTATCTAATTGTGGGTAACATTCTAGGCTAGATTTATTCTTCTTCATTCTACCCCTTTTTGTAAAAATGTCAGTGTCCTCTTTAAGTCATTTCGTTTTAGTCAATGTCATTTCATAAATGTTTGAAATGTTAAATTAAAAATGTTAAGATGAGTCATTTTTAAGTATGTGACATTTTTTTGTCTTAATGCCTAAAATATACATTTGGTCTACAGTGCACAGAGACTACCCAAAATGTAACCCACTTCTCATTTTCAGACTTTACAGTTATAATAGCTATGAAACTGAAATAATAGGGATGGAATTCTTTCCAGAAACTTCACAAAGATCCGTTTTTTAAATACACCTTTAGATAGCTATATCCAAATAAAAAGTAAGATAGTAGTTTTAAGTATATGTAGTCCCCAAAATAAAAATGTTATAACACTTTAGTCATTAGATACTTATTCATTAAAACTATTTCACATTTTGTTACTTCTAGTTGTAAACTAGACCATTATTTTAAATTATTTTATTAATGGAGGTTTCTTACGAAAATTCAGAATTAAAGTAAAAGGAAAAATGTGTTCATTTTAGATATTACAGACATGATTTATGCTGGTCATACAACTAAATCTTTGGGGTTTTTTTCCCCTCCCCACCTTGCAGATGAAGAGAAAGTTGGACCATGGCTCCGAGGTCCGTTCTTTCTCTCTGGGAAAGAAACCCTGCAAAGTCTCAGAATACACGAGGTAATTAAATGTAATAACATGACCTGGTCATGATTTTTATGTGTACATCCTGTCTTTCCAGCTGCTCAACCTGAATCATAGCTCATCTTAAATGTTAACACTAGAGAAGAGAACTGGTGGTATTATCCCTATTAGCATGTAGAGTTCAGGTGGTTAAAATTATGGAAACTGAAGTTGAGTTTCAATAGAGTAGCCAAAGTTGTATTTCTTCTCTTGAGGTTTGCTTTCAATTTCTAATATATTGCCCATCTCCGAAGAGCTTTCTACAGGGCAGAAGCATCCCTCAAAATAAAGTGTGAAATCAATACAGTTTTAAAAGGGACTTAATGGTAAGAACTTCTAAAAAGAAAGGCTTTTACAAAATATGATCAAATGTATCAATTTACTAAGGCAAGTGAAATACTTGAGTGGAAATTTATGTAGACAGAATTGAACATATGATTCTAAGCAAATTACAAAAAAATGCTTGCTACCTACAATATGGTATTACTGAGTCCCCATTCTTCTCCCTTACTCATGTTGATTAGTATGTTAATGCACAAGTAGTTCCATTTATTTCAGTGAGATTCCTTGCAGAGTAACATAATAATCAACATGAGTAAGGGAGCAGAATAGGGCAATTTCTGAATCAGCAAGTATATTTTATTTGCTAAAGATAAGATTTTAAATGTTCTATATGCATACATTACAGTATGCTCAGTGTTTCCTGTAGTTGCCATAACAACTAGATATAATTGTTCTCTGATGTCCTGCTACATTCCATCATTTTGGAATTTGCATCATTGTAAAACTTTTCCTGCTACTTTCCACTTAAAATTGGCTTAGGAAGTCAGTTCTTGAATACGTCACTGTGGATGTATCTTAAAAGTGTAAATTACATTTTATACATCTCTCCTTGTAAGAGGGTTATTGCACAAATGAAAAGTTCAGAAAATGTGGGAAATGTTCTGTGTTTGGTCTTTGATTTTGTAAATGGCAACATTAAAGAACAACAGACCTTATCTGATTAGTGAGCAAATATAACCATTCTGACTTCCAGATCTCTCTAGTTGGTGTATTATTTTTTTCAATTGTTCTCAGTTTTCTGAACTCATGCTGCCAAAAACCTGCCTCTTTCTGTAACAGTTCCTCACATAACACAGTCCTTGGTGTTCACAAAAAAGACAATTCAGTAAAGTATACTGTTTGTCAAAATATATGTACTTGTTTTCAGAGGAATTGTTGTTACTTGTCCAGCTTCCTAGAACATGCGACTATGTTTTAATAGAATGAAAACAAACATTCAGAAAGTTCTAAACACAAAAAGAATAAAGTATGAACAAAGATTATGTTTAATGTGATTGCAAAGGAAAAAGATTTTGCTTTTAGTTTCTGTTGTGGATTATTGCAGTTCTGACTAAAAAGTCCAATGTAGCAGTGAAAGACATTTAAATAAAGGTATAACATCCCCTATATTAAAATAAACAGCCACCAAACATTTTATTTACTTAAAATATGTATTTTAATGCCTCTAACCTAAAGACAGCATTTATATTTCATGTTGTTTATAACAAGTTTCTAATTTTCTAACCCATTTTATCACCAACATTCAAAAGCTAGCCTCTATAGATACTTACCTTCTAGAAAAGCTGACCATATTCAGTCATACTGATGATAGTTGAGAAGATGTGAAAATAGTGTCTCTCAGAAACACACATAGCCTTTGCTTGTTCACCCACACCAAGGGTAGAATTCAGCTCCTGTGCACAGGACCAGTACAAGTCGTATGCACCAGTTAAATCCCACATAAGCTTCATTCACAGAGTCTTATTTTGGAACTGAAGTGAAGTGTTGGATTGGCTTTTTGCTGGCCCTCTGCTCAGGGGTGAACAGAATTAGAAAAGTCATTGATTTTAAAAGTATTATGGATTAACTTAAAAGCATGACTTTTAAGTCTTCTTTCCACTGGAATTCAGAAGGTTGAGTTTATATACAGGAAAAAACCCTTTTCATAAATAATATAGGACAGTCTTATGACTTGATCTTTTGAGTCGTTTGATCATATTCTATTTAATATTGTTTAGGTAAAATGATTTAATTCTTGCATCTCAATGTTTCTGTATGTTCTCCTTGTTGTTAGAAGGAAAGACTCACAGGTCTGATGAACCTGGGGTTTGTTTACACCCGTAAAAAAACCCATTGGGTTATTTGCATTAGCTGAATGTCCTTAAAAGACGACAGTGTTCTGTGAAACAAAGTGCTCCGTATTAGCTTTTGTTTACATTAGAACTTACTGAAATATCAAGTAAAGAAATAAACCTGTTCTTATCCGTCTTTAAACTTCATCAGTTCATGCAAGTTTTTGGTACATGCTGGAGAAAAAATAAAACAATAAAATAAAACAAAATTAGAGTTAAAATAAATGTTAGTTATAAATCTATATTGCATCAGTTTACAGCAATGCTCTGTCCAGTGAAATCGTGAAGAGCAAATTAGCTAAAGGACTAGATTTCCTGCAAAATATTAAATATATTAAAGCAAAATATTTAGGAATCTCCAGTGTATTTGAATTCTACATCTTTTGCAATAGTTAGTACAGATAACTATGGTTTAAATAGGTGATCCAAGATACGTAAGTAGGGACTATATCAGTCAGATACATCATGTAAAATGCTTCATTTACAAGATAAGGTGAGAGAAAATTGAAGGCTGGACAACATTACTGTGGTAGACTTCTAGGAGTTTAGACCAGTCACACGGGATGGAGTTGAGGAAAGAAGAAAAAAAGACACACAAGGCAGAAACATATATTCCTGTGTCTGATCTTTTAAATATGTGAGTGAGAAAACTGTGTGTAGATGGGGCAAAACTACTGCCTCCCAGCTCCCCCTGCCCCCAAAATTGTGAGGTTGGTGTTAATCCATCAATATGCAAACTTTAAAATACAGTAAAATATATTGAAGTTAAACTATTCTGTTATCATTATAAAATATTAATAGTCTCTTGCTAACAAAATATATCAAGGATAATGATATAGATAATGGATTATTTCGTTGTTTGGCAATGAGGCAGCAACATGTTTTACCATTACAGTTGAGACCTGTGAACTCCTGCTTTCCACATCACCGGAGACCAGGCACACAGGAAACTTGGTCTTCCTGGAGTGAAAGGATATATTCTTACTGCATCTCTTACATAAGCACTCCCTTCTGGCCAGTTGATGGAGTGGTATTCATTTGGCCTTCAGTGGATGCTACCCATTTTTTTTATGAACACTAGAATGATAGAAACAGCTGTACTGATGAGAGTGAGGAAACTGACTCCTTGAATGACAAAGTTCAAACTGTTGTTGCCTGGGTAATTTCACATAAAAATCAAAACATTATTTTTTATTAATTCTGATTTGTAACTGCTGTACTAAAGCATTTAAAGTATATAAACATTTTATTTTTCATAATGCAATAGTTTCTGTGACTTTCACTTATTTGTATCATAGCACTACTGGGCTTGTGCCATGTTCAGCAACACCTACTACTTTTGGGGACCTGAGAGCAGCCAATGGCCAAGGACAACAGCGGCGCCGGATTACATCTGTCCAGCCACCTACAGGACTTCAAGAATGGCTGAAAATGTTTCAGGTAACCAGCAACTAGAGCGTGAGACTAAATAACCATCTGGAATGGTTCACCTTCATGATTTAAGAAAAAACAGCCAGCTTAATGTACCCCCAAAGTCTCTGTCATTGATTCCATGTAGTCCTGACAAAATAAATGAGCACCAACTTTAAAGGAAATACAGTTTTCCATTCCAGCTAGTTACTGTACAAATTCACAAAATGTTTGCTTTCTTGGGTTTGCTCCCAAAATAAACTCTACTGTTAAGTACTTTGATATTTTCTGCAAAATCTATCCAGCAGGTTACCGCTGCTGCCATTGTGGCCTCAATTTAACAAAAGACATGTTCATTTTGAGGCTTGTAAGCATTAGTGCATGGTTAGTCTCTGTGTGAATATGATGCTAAATTTATCAGAAATCTGATAATTTAAATGGAATAGAGGGAACTCTAGTTTATAATACTTTAAAAACTTAGTTATTTGACAAAATATATTTCTGATGAAAAGGAAACTCAATGTTCATTCTTACCATTCTGTGTTTTTATTCACATTCTTGGGTTGTGCATATTTGTACAGTTGAAAAGAAGAGCAAAGAGAACTTTTTTCTCCCTTCAAATGGTCTGGTCAACAATGTCTACAAGAAAAACAACACTGACAAAGAGTCTGTAAATAAAATGGTATGCACGAATAGTAATTAATGTAGGGGTGGCCAACCTGAGCCTGAGAAGGAGCCAGAATTTACCAATGTACGTTGCCAAAGAGCCACAGTAACATGTCAGCAGCCCTCAATCAGCTTCCCCCTCCCCCCCACTCTCAGTGCCTCCCACCCACCGGCAGCTGTTTTGTGGCATGCAGGAGGTGGGGAGAGGGAAGAACGAGGGCACGGCAGGCTCAGGGGAGGGGTGGGAAGGGATGGAGTGGGGGCAAGGGCCTGTGGCGGAGCCAGGGGTTGAGCAGTGAGCACCCCCGGCACATTGGAAAGTTGGCACCTGTAGCCTCAGCTCCGGAGCTGGTGCCTATACAAGGAGCCGCATATTAACTTTTGAAGAGCCACATGTGGCTCCGGAGCCACAGGTTGGCCACCCCTGAATTAATGCAACGGAAGTAGAATATCTATAGATGTCTATTGCTGTGTGTTTAAAAATATGAAAAAACTACCCACTGATTAACAATAAAGCAATATGTTTTTGTTTCTGAACATTACTTCTGTAACAGTTTAAAAAGAAGAGATGGACCAATGAAAATATAAAAATTGCTTCCGTTATTCTCAGCAATAACTTTTACAGCTTCAATGTAAACTTACTGACACACAGTTTTAGGCAAAAATCATTTTTTATAACTTTATGCTCAATGTGCATCATTTGATGATAATTTCATTATGTAACTAATCTCAGATGCAAATTCTTGCCCTTAAAAAAAAAAGTAAAAACCTCTTCCTTCATAAATTATAAATATGTAATCTATTCATACAAAACTCATACTTTGAAGTGAAGTGGAGAAGACTAAATGATTTGCAGCAATAAGTATTCAAATTCAGTTGTTAAAGGTATGCTTTTGTGATGTTTTTTCCTAGAAAGATGTTTTTTATCCACAAGAATAAGATTTTAATGGTACATGTGCTTCTTTCTAGACACCACAGATACTTCAACACAGCTCCTGAATATTAATCAGTTGAAAGCCTTTCTGTTATCAAAAGTTAGTTTGTTTCACAACAGAGGTATTTTATTGGTAATTTTAAGTACTTGGTTTACTTTTTCACATAGTCTATAACTACATACAAAAAACAGCAGGGTGGATTTGATTTAAATCATGATTTAAATCACTAGTCAGGAAGACTCAATTTAATCATGGATTTCTACATAAAAGTGCATTCTTGTTGGTTGTTATAATCTAAATACATATTCTTCACAACTCAGAGATAGATGTAGGTTTCATTTTTAGAAGGTACGCACTATACATTTTTTAAGTGATTTATACTGAAAACTTTTCAGATTAGTTTTACAGCTATATCAGAAAATGAATGATTTGTTGTTTCATTTACCAAAGGTAATTGAAGCAGATATTAATGAAGTCATTGGGAGGTGAAGTATCTCCAATTCAACAGGTTAATCATTAATATTTGAAGGATTTTCTTGCCATGCTGTATTAGGAGGAGAACATCACCAGACAGACATTTAAATTGAGTTATTTAAGTAAAATAACGTTATGTATTCTGGATTTTTTCTTCAACGGCAAACATAATATTTTGACAAAACAAGCATATGAATTTTTGAATTTAGTTAAACATTCAAGTTTTTAAAAATCAAGTTTGCTTTTGTTAAAATTGTTTTTAACTAAAATAGTTAAAGGAAATATTTAAAAAAAATATATTAAATTGACTATGTCAGCCAGGTCAACATGAGAAACTTAAAATATTGGCTTCTGCAGTTAACTCAGTCGTCTTCACCTTCATCTTCCTGATTGTTCATAATCTGGAAAAGAAAAACAAGCTTTCCTGCTTTTTCAGGTCCCAACCGATTTCTCAATTTGGAATGAAGTAGTCCAAAGGAAGAAAATATTCTTTCTACATCGGCAGAAGAAGCTACTACTGTTAAAAGTGAGATTATCACTTCAACAGTCTCTGAATCCAAGTGCTTAAGTGACTTCCACCAGTTCACTGGTGTGACTTTCTTTAAAACATCATCAGCAAACATATATTTCTTGAATGGTTCACCCTTAGCTCTGAAGTTTATTATAGTTGCATTATTGAGGGATGATTGCTGGATGTCCATATCATAGCCAACTCCTCTTCTTCAGCAGTTAAGGTTTGACCCTGGTACCGAGTATTGAGAATATTGGCAAGAAAATGAGGTGGAGATAGTGCTTGTCCCATTCGTTTTTGTTAATGCTTGTAATTTAACTCTGTCATTGCATATGTCTCTTTTTAAGATCTCACTCAGTTCCTTTCAAATTTCAACAGTGTCAGCAATAAAACAGCTATTTCCCTGCATTTTGTTCAAGGCTACAGAAATAGGCTTCAGGGTACTCAGTATGTGTTCAACATTTCTCTTAAGCCCAATGTTGAGAACTTTGACCGTGACAGTGTCATCTATTTTTTCATGATTTTGTTCACAATTCGTCATCAGATTAGGCTAGTTCTTAATATAGTGCTCAAAACAATCCACTACTGAGTTCCACTGCACGTCTTGTGAGAGAGTTAGCTTGGTTCCTCCTACTTTTTTCAGAGCAGCTGCTGCAAAGTGGTTGCTACGGAAGTATTTTGCAATTTCAACAACACTAGCCTTTATTTCTGGAACACCGAAGTCTTTGGCTAGGAGGTGCATCAAGAGAGCACTGCAACTGTATGTTATTAGCTTGGGACTCTCTTCTAAATAATTTCTTCTCATCTTGGATACATTTGCAGCATTGTCTGCGACTAAGCTGCATACTAGACATTTTAATTATTTTTCATTTTGTTATAGCTTTTACTGCTACTTCTTTAAGCATTCTGCTGTGTGTGCATTTCCTGATGTATCAATTGTTTCTGTAAGGAAGACATTCCCTTCTTCTGTTGTCACACAAGCACATACAACAGGATCATTGTGGACATTGCTCCACC